CATTACTCAGGATCTCGCAACCCCTAATTTCATTGAATCTGAAATTGATTACAAGAAGTTTGTTGAGGATTCAGATTGATTGGAAGAAGCTGATTGCGTGACAAAGTATCATCTGCAACTCTGAGAGGCATTAGTGATCCAATCCCGCTTCCAACTGACCATTGTTGCAAAGTCCAAATCAGTTTCACGCCGGAGCATTTGTGCGCAGCCACCGGAGGTCATGCATAGCTTCTCCTAGTATGTACAGAAAATCACAGGGGTCTCCAGCGTCCAGCCCGATGGTCATCGACATCCATGAGCACCGGGTCTCCGGCGAGCTTCGGCGGTGATTTTTTTATGGAACTCGGGCGGTGATTTTTTTTTGACATGGATTAGATCGGTTCGGAGGTAGGAGATGTAGTTGTACAACGAGATTAAGACTTGGCAGGGGGTTATCTATCAAACACATTTAAGTGGGGCTAAGGGAATCCCACCTCTCATATAATCTGTTCGTTTTAGATCTGATGGGTAGGATGGAAAGTTTTCAGATTTTCACTGAACAAGCGTTTTCACACTATACGTTGCCAAGAGAAAAAAAAGAAACAAGCAGATGAGTTTATATAGTTACAGAGAGAATCGATTGATAACTTTTTGTAAGAGTAAATATGAGGAGTTGAAGAAATCAAGGCATGGCATTTGTTCTTTTTTTTTGCGAATGAGAAACTTGTATTACTCAATCAAGGGGTCCTTACAATCATCAGCTACTATCACCAGAGTCTCCTCCGGACTAGACCCTAGCCAGGTCATAGTCCTACCATGAATTCTAGCAAACACTGCCAAACTATCACTAGCCTTATTTTGGGATCGAGAAACATGAGTAATACAAGTTTGTCTAAGGGACAACAAGTGCTTAATCTCCTGCACAACGGGGGCATAGATTGAACGATGGACGCCTTCAGATGAAATCATGGTCACGGCCTTCTTGGAATCCAGCTCCACCACTATCGGAAGATCACAACGTTGTAACGCCAAAGAAACACCTTCCGTACAAGCACAAAGCTCCGCCTCGAGGGCATCACGACAAGAGAACAGAGATCTGCAAGCTGAAAAAATAATTATCCCCTGATGATTACGCAGAATCATTCCAGCCCCGGCCACTTCCGAAGAAACGAAAGAACCATCAGTGTTCAGTTTATACCAACCCAAATCCGGGGCACACCATTTCTTCCCGTCAGCCTCGTTATTTGTCCTCAGAGCAGGAGCTGGCTTATCATAGACTATGCAAGCTTTACCTTTGATCGCGTCCGCCTTGGGGTTAAGATTGATGCCAATCAGAGAGTCGACATAACTCCGGAGAAATCTTACAGAGGCCTCCAAAGGAGGTGCAGGTTTAGAGTGCACAATTTCGTTCCTGATAAACCAGGATCTCCAAAAAACCATCATCACCATCATTCTCCCCACTTCGTTCAACGGCGCCAAAACATGGAGAAGCCATTCCTTGCCATTATTCACTAATTCTTCTAGCTTCGGTATCGCCCACACTTTGGTCATGGCAAGATAAAGGTCACGTCCAAGCTGACAGCGTACAAAAGGGTGAAAATTATCTTCTTCCTCCACACCACAAACCGGGCACTGGCTCACCTTTTCAAGTCCGATTCTATGTTTCCTCTGCCATGTCGGGAGAGCATTGGTGGAGAGGCGCCACGCAAAGTTACGCACAGAGGGCGGAGCCCAGCTCTTCCAAATGAAGCTCCAACATTTCCTTTGACCTGGCGGCACCGAGCTCGAAGAAGTTTCAGCAGCACGATGTACTTCCTCAAACGCCAAGTTATAAGCCGACTTAACTGAAAAAACGCCATGTTTGTCCGGGCCCCAAGCAAGCACATCGTCCTCCAGCCGAGGAGATGCTCTGATTTTCAGTATCTCACGTACGTCCGCGTCAACAAAGTACTCAGAGAGGACCTCATAGTTCCACGATCCATTCTGGTTTTAGTAAATCTGACACAAAACGGATACGACACCTTCCCTGTGGCAATATTGGCTTATACGAAAAGGGTCTTGGAATCCACTTGTCCTGCCACACTCGAATGATTCTGCCGTTCCCCACCCTCCAGACCAAACCCTTCTTTAGCAACTCCAAACCGTAGCTGCTAGCTTGCCAAGATGAGGACGCATTCCCCGAAAAAACAGTGTCCTCTAACTTACCCAAGGGGTAATATCGCGCCTTAAGCACTTGGGCACACAAACTATCTGGTTTAGTTAGTAGCCTCCAAGCCTGCCGTGCCAATAAAGCATGGCATTTGTTCTGACCGAACTACTAGCCTTAATCCAGAAGACAAGGGCACAAGGGCAACCAGCAGATGAAAACACTGTAAGTGATTATGAGCACATATTTAATTCGTGTTGTATAGAATCTGCTAGTTTAGACAGAAAACCAATTTTTGTTATGGATATCTATGATCCAAAAAATTGGGATACCTAATAATTAATAAAGAAAGGGAAATAATAGTGGAGAAGGCGGCCTATAATATAAATAGACAGAGTTAGATTTTTTATTGAAGATAGTATGTAGAAATTATTCGATATAAAAATTGTGTTCGGTGGACTTTATATATGTATTGAGAACATTTGATATAAACATATATTAACTACTATTTTGATATTTATATTGAGAGGAACCCAGTTATAGTTTCGCCCAGTGCCCCCGAAATCTCAGGATCGGCCCTGAGCAGCACGGAGAGCTAGAACGCCACCGGCGTGCCGTCGCCGCCAGCCGTGCGGAGCTCGGCCACGTCGAACCTGCCATCGCCGCGGCGGCGCAGGATGCCGATGGCCTTCCTGGTGAGCGCGGACCGGGGAAGCAGCGACAGAGACGGTGGCCGGGCGCCCCTCGCCTTGCAGACGAAGTAGTCGATGCTGCGGGAGGAAACGGTGAGCTGGAGGAGAACGGAGTCGTCGTGCGCGGCGACGACGCGGGGGTACGCGAAAGACGAGTCCTCCCTGTTCGGTCCAAACGGCCAACGGAGGTAGAGGCGGGAGGTCGCCGGCGGCGCGTCGAACCGGAACGACACGCTGATGACCGTGCCGGTGGAGGTGCGGGATGACGCCACGGTGGCCGCGTCGGCGTCGGCCCGGTCCTCGCAGTGGCCGAGCCGATCGAGCAGCACCCAGGGAGGGCGGGGCACGACGGGCGTGGGATCATCGGAGGTTCTGCTGGGTTGGGCCTCCATGGCTGCCTTCCTTTTTTCCTATCACCCCTTTTTCTTTTCCTGGGCTCACAAGGTTATAAGGAGAGGACGTAAGAATTGGGCCTGGACTCTACTGATTTTGTACTCTGGTTGAAAACTGGGAGCAACTAGTTAACGAGCGCTCCTTCGGGAGCCTCGCAACGATCAGCGCCACTTGGCGCACTTTCAGCCATTCGTCACGTGTCGCGCTCTGGACACTCTCTCCGGATTTATTTATTTTCCGCACGCGTTTTCGGCTTTTTAAATGTTTTTTTGGGTTTTTTCGACGTTTTGGTTTTCTCTCGGTCTTCCTTAACTTTTCGATAAAAAAAATTTATGCGAAAAAAACGCTCTTGTTTTTTTTCTTTCATGAAAGTCATGGTTTTTTCAGCGAGAGGCACGGTTGTGCTTTAGCGAGAGTCATGGTTTTGCTTCCACGAGAGGCACGGGTGTGATTTCGCCAGATGCACGGGCGTGCCTCTTTCGGAAAGGGAAAAAACCGTGCTCCCGGTTCGGTTTTTTCGCCCGTTTTTTTCGTCCGTTTTTTTTTCGTGAAAATAAAGTTCGTCAAAATCTATCAACATGGGGATCTAGTTTTAAAGATCTCGACGCGAGGAATCCAATGATGAAAACAGTTCGAGATTTGGACGCACGGTTTAAAAGATAAAACGTTTTGAATAAACGAATCTACGAAAAAGGGAAAACTCCCAGGTTGTGACAAGTGGCGCGCTGCATGTGCGCCACTTGTCGCGACTTGGAAAAGTGGAGTGTTTTTTGCAACTAGTACTCCTTAATTAGTGATTTCGTTGAAAACTACTCTGTCTTTTATCATTGAGCAAGCCGACTTAAGTTACTCAAAAAAATACCTATGTCCCTGTAAACATTGTAACGAATTAATAAAGTCTTGTGATGTTGTCTAAAAAAAATAGTTACTCAAAAAAAAGCAGGCCGACTTACGAAGTGCTCCTTCTTCACATTCTAACCGACTTGACGAAATGTACTTGTTGTTTATGATGATGCCGCCTTAATGCCTCAGTCCAGATTGCGTGCATGCGTGTTTTCAGCATCTGGTCGATGCAATCTGATGTCCCTTCAATCAAATCAATCAAGTAACTAAAACAAACTTTCTTTAGAAATACTTTCTCCGTTCCAAATTACTCATCGTAAAAATGGATGTATCTAGATATATTTTAGTTCTAGATACATTCATTTTTGTGACAAGTAATTCGGAACGGATGAAGTACTATCAGACATCTAAACGTACCGCCTTAACGCGGTGATCCAGGAGGCCAAAACACGTGCGTGTTTACGACTTGCGGTCAAGGGAACACCTAAAATAATTAAGCGTGCCCTTGTTTTATTGCATCATTAATCTCGTTTGATCTTTTCTTGCAAAAAAGATTCATATATCTATACTATAGAAGTAAGCATCTCAAACATAATAAAAATCACGTCGACGTCTCATCTTGATTGATTTAGAAACCTTGTTCAAATTATTTTGTGTCGGATACTTGGTTAAAACGAGTTTTTCTTCATAATTGTGCTTATACAACTATCCAAGGTGTCACTGGTACAAAATAAACATATTATTCCGAAACTGAGGTATCACCAAAGCACAAGCTTCACTTTGCTGTTTTTGACAAAAGGAAGAAAACGTAGAGCGACTTCTAGGTGCATCTACGGTATACACTTCTGTCCAAACTGACAGAGTACAATTACAACCAACTCTGGACTCCTTTTTCTGTTGAACCCTCGGCAAGTAAATTCTTTTTTCAAGAAACCCAACCCCCTTCTTCAAGCATTCCATGACGCCGACCGCCTCATTGTCGGCTTCACAGGCCGGTCCTCCTCCATGGAGATCATCATGAGCGTCGATGGGTCCTCCAGCATCATCCTCGCGACTAGGTATCCAGCGATGGACCATGTCTGGAACTTCCTGGCCTGCTTGCCGACGAACTTGCCCAGCTTGCCGTCGTAGTACTCGGGCCAGCCGTCCTTGAGGAGCCTTGCCTCGGAGAGCTCGATGGCGCGCTTCGCCATTTGTGGCCGCCCGGTCTTGATGCAGGCTGCTGTCAGCAGCCATAGAAGAACTGCAGATGAAACATGTGAGAATGTTAAAATTCATAGGCTTTGCATCCCAAGATTGGGTTGTGGCCTTGTGGGCTTGTGGCTTTGCTTCGTGCATAAATAGAAGCAGGGCACGATTGAGCATACAAAGCCACGTCTCCACTCCTCAAGTGACAGAACTTCCCCCAAGCAATCAGAACAAAGCAGATCAAGGGTTCCCAGAGATTCAAAATCATTTTTCTCCTGACAAGCTATGTTGCCATTTGTAGCTGTAATATTATTTACAGCTAAAAAGATTTTGCCAAATGGTAATTTCAGAATGAAGTTTATTCTAACCATTTATTATTGTTTTATAATTATTATAGTTGTACTCTTCAATCAGAAAAAAATAGTCACTTCAGATAATAACAGTTTTACAAACCAGGAATATTTGGCAGCAAAGAATGCTCACTGAAATAATGACACTGGCGTAGAGTAAATTACCTGGCCAAGATCCTCCATTATGATAACTCCACCTAGTATTCTTGGGGTCGCAGCCAGTAATTATTCTCCATTCATGGTTCTCAAGTGCAGGATATACTATCTTAAGAGGCACCTCGCCCACTAGCTCATCCCATCTCTCCTCGATGAGATCCATTATTGCCGATGACTGCTCCGGGGTAGCTAGAGATGATATAATGGCAATACAGTTTCCAAGAGCAAACCACCTGAAGTCCATCATAGCAGGGCTGACGTTGCCAAGGAAGTAGCCTCCCCGACAAGGCATGAAATCAAACACCCAATCAGGGATTGAATCCGGAATGACATTGAATTTGTTCACAGCGGTGTGGGAGTATTCTTCTGTTTTGTATCTATATATGTTATTTAGATGTGGAAAATCAAGCCAGAAGTAATTTCTCATGTGGTAGGTTAATGCATGCAGTCGTTGCCCTATCTTCTCTATGAAGTCCTTCCCTTCACCATCTGGCTTAAGCATTTGGAGGGCACATCTTAATGCCATGTAGAAGAGAGCTTGGATCTCAATAGGATAACCGTATATACCCTGAAAACATTTATTAAATTTGTAGCATTACAATCATGTAACAAGGATATTTAGCTCCAACTGAAATTGCAACTCAGAGAGTTGAACAAGGAATCAGGAAACTTTAGGATTACATTTCAGAATACAGATTGCCTTTTTAAGTACTGTAATATTACTTTAACTGAAAAGTCGAGCAAGCAGCACGAAAAACTTTAGGATTGTATTTTCAGAATGCAGATCATTTGTTTCAAGTGTTATATTTTTCTTGTGATAAAAATAATCATACTTCCTACTTAAAGAAAGATGAATCCTCCATGCCCTATCACACATAAATAAATTAACACATACTCCCTCCATCTCAATAAGGGTCGAGTATATTATCCTTATACGTGTCCCTCTTGCATGGTCTTGGTAAATTAATGGTGACATGCCAAAATAATGAAAACCCAATACTATTTAAAATCTGCAACAGATTAATAACATGCAATACCAACAAGTCAAAGTGCGTTGCTATCTGTAGGTGTCCCTTCTATTAAAGTTTACTGTTTAGGAAAAGTTTGTTGCCATCTGTAGGCGTCCCTTCTATTAAAGTTTACTGTTTAGGGAAAAAAAGTCCATTTTAGCTGCCAGTCCTGTTCCTGTTGCCACCTCAATTGAATTGTGCCACTTTTAAGTATGTAGAGTAGTTCTGAATTTAAAGCAGATAAAGGTTAAGTGCCTGTACCATTCGACGATCGATCATTGAGCAACCATCAGTGCAGAGCAGAGTTGGGAAAGTATCGAATCCCTCAGATAAGCAAAGATTCAGTATAAGCCGCATGCACTTCTGACAATCAGGTGATTCTGACAAACTAGCATCTCCAGTATACTTTGTATACGCCCGGAGGAGAATAATCCACCAAAATCCAGAGTCCACTGGTGCCACCCTGCCAATTGCGCTCTCACCAAAATCTGCAACTAATGTTTCAGTGTTCCTGTTCACATTACGGTCCACCTTGAAACTTGCAGGCATTGCTCCTGCTCCAAGCTTGAACCGGTCTACCATTTTTTCCGAGCTTTGCAAGTGGACAGTTCTCAAGAGGAAGTTCTTCACTATTTCAGGTTCGTTGTTCATTAAGAAAGCCAATGCACTAGGAACAAAATCCCGCACAAAAACCTGCCGTTGTAAGGATAAAATGAACAACAGTACAACATCAGATATTAATTATTTTAGGAAAGTAATAAAAAATGCAAGAGAACGATGAATGTGAAGCAAACAGAGTACCCAAAGCCATAGTGCAAATGAAAATTAAATTACGATGGGAAATTGCATCAATTAGTTTCAGATAATACAGGACGCAAGTGAACACTTTGTAGTTCATCAGTTCATAACTGAGAGTATCCTTAACAGGGCATATAATAAATGTAGCATCATTATCACTCCCTCGATCGCAAAAAAAGTTTATCACTACCTCCATTTCAAAATAATTGAAGTTGTAGATTTATCCTAAATAAGTTAAGCTTAGTTAAGTTTGACCAACTCCATAGAAAGACATGCAAAGGGCTACAACACCACATATACATAGTTCAAAAATATATTTATAAGAATATCATGAGAGTAATTTGGTGTTCCAGATGTGAATATATTTTCCTATTTACTTGGTCAAACTTAAATAAGTTTGAGTTAGACAAGCCTGAACTTCAATTATTTTGGAACGCAGAGAGTACTAGGCAACCGGACAATTTTCATTACTAATTTCGATGTCTAAATATCAGAACCTAAAAAAATGATAGCCTGTTTTCAGATATGAGACGATGGATTTTACCTGATCATAATTGAGCACCTCCTCTGATGCATGATCTACCGCAGCAACGGTACCCACAGGCTGGCCACGAAAATACACTACAGACTTCCTGAGTGCCTCCCATGCCTCATTCACAAGCGGGTGTGGTCCACTTGGCTCACCGAAGTGTGAGCCCGTTGAGAATGGTGACTCGAAACCGGTGCGGAATGCAGGCGAATGCGCCACACTATCAAAGCCGTCATTATGCCGATGCGAGAGGTCACTCCATGACTGTTCATCAAATGACCTCTTACGCTCCAGTGTGAACCTTGGCTTGTCAATTAGTAACCGTGAGAGATCAAGATTGATCTCTGCCTCTGAGGCAATGGAGACATGCGATGAGACTCTCTTCATTATACCCTGCTCTGGTCAAGTACTATTCAGATGAGCTCCTGCAAGGGAAATAAAATATCAGTTCAGGTTTGAACCCCTGCGATTGTGAGGATGACTAAGGTGCAGATAGTCAGTATTCCATTGCAGTAGAAAGCCAGTTCACAAACATATTTATGACGAATAAACCCTCTTGGTCTCATAAAAAAGAAGTGGACTAATAATACTGGTAAATATTAGAATTACACTAAGCAACTAAACTGGAGTACAAGTCAAGCAATGTATACTATTGGCAGAAATCAGCTCCAACGATTAAGGGCCAACGGGAATCAAGAATCGGTGCTGGTGCATAGGGGAGTACGCAGCAGCATAGTTATTATTATAAACTACGGAACGGCACCAACAGCCACAAGACTTCGATGAAATCAGAGCCCGCAGAGGGCAGCGCTGACGCAACCAACTAGGGCGACCGACAGAGCCAACCGCAATGCCGGATCTGAATCTAGAGGGGTGAAGAGCTCACAACCTTTTTTCATTTTATAAATATAAAATAAATGATGGCCCCGTCAGCTGGAAAGCTCAATAGCATGTAAAAAATCAATTCTGTCGCCGTCCCTCTATGGCAACGACAGGTGCGATTTGGAAAGCTCAGTAATTGCTGAGAAATATACATCCCCCCCTCTCATAAGTCATAATCCAGTATAGTATTTCTGTGACTAGGAAGGCTGTATCATTTCAGGAAAGTTCACCGGATTTTGCTCTGCTACGGCGGAAACCGCAGTAGAGGAGCAGAGCTGTGTGCTCGAACGACGACTCACTACCGATTTCGTGCGGCATCTAAAACCGAAACCCAGCCCACTGGGGCGGCGAGCCAGATCCAAGGCTGGACGGAAACGGCAGTCAACCACATCGATCAAACTCCTACCGAACCAGATCCGTGCACCAGAGCAGCACGGAACCGATCGCGGGGGCAGAGGCCATGGGAGATCAGAACCGGGGAATCGCAGGGAGTCGGTGAGAGAGGAGGACGCACCTTGCGGGGGCTCGTCGCCGCGCCGGACCGGGCAGGCGGCGGAGCAGACGGAGGCGACGGGGGAGTGCGGGGGGAGTGCGCGAGCGCGGGGAGGAGGCGGCAGGTTGAGCCGGAGGCGGGTGTATTTATAGGGGCGCGCGCCAAATGGGCGTCTTCCTTCCTTGATGCTGCCGGTGTTCGAAAATCTCCCTCGCCTGCGGCCGATCGTACTCCTCTCCTGCCTTGTTGCTTCGCCTTTTGTCTTCTCCTTCCTTTTAAAAAACATTTCTATGTTGCAAATGGAATGTTGTGTATTTTCTTCTGGATTTGTTTCCGGGTGGTGACGTGTGGCGCGCGTGGAGGATGAAGAGGGTTTTCGACGTGGGTAAAAACAGTGCCATTTCGATAAATCCTTGTGGGATGTGCGTGCCAAACGGCCGTGTGCTCGGATGCAAAGGATTGTTGATATGCTTGCCAAAAATGAGTTGCTCTATATAGTAGTACTATGAGATAGTACAATAAACCAATATCTAAAACGGATTTGAAGAGAGCCGTAATGCAACGGACCCCACGAAATCTCCCGGTACAGCACGTGTTTTCGGATTTTGTTAATTCTCGCCATTTGATTTTAATGAAATTACACGTGGGTTTTTTATTTTCATTTTCTTTCTTTTTCCTTTTTGAACATTTTTTAATCTTATTCAATGTGGCGCATAGCTACACTTGCGTGCTCGTGCACATTACAAGCGTATGAATGTATGCAAGTGCAGTTGATTGTCCGTATGGGCAGCTTGTGTGGGCGCATTTGGCGGATATCGTTCAGGTAGCGAATCTAGCGGCGGCGACTACTAGGTTGGCCATGGCGTGCATGACAACCATCGGTGAACGACGATGCGAGAGTGGTCAAAAGAGGCATGATGGTGTCTTCACTTCCGATGTTTTCTCCTTTGGCCGGCTAGTTCTGTGTGAGCAGATTGATAGAATGGCGTGTGGTGATTATGACGACAGACATTAGGATACATTATCTCCAGGTGAAAACTCAGGATCTAGCATTATGGCTTGATCAAGCAACGCCGACGTCCGTGTGTCGTTACCTTATTGAAGGTGTTGGTTTGAATATATGATTAGGTTCACAACCCTTGGTCTGACATTTGGTTGGACCAGTCAACATCGTCGCGTAACCAGCATTCCCTTCTTGAAGACGTTGACTTGGAGGTTTGCGCCATTTATTTATTGCTATGTAGAAAAACCACTACATTTTTCATAAATAAAATTCAATAAAACAACGTGATTACAAGGCTTGAGATAATACGGAGAAAGAGAGAGAGAGAGAGAAACAAGAAAAAGGAAACTATGAAAACTAAAATTACACCAAAGATTCCATCCGAGAAGAGTAGACAACAACGCACTTCCTCTTGATCCTATGTCTCAACAAGTTTTGCTTAGAAAAAAATGTATCCTTCCACCTCTGAAATGATGGGGCAATCTACTAGAAAATTTTATTGTTTCTCGTGATTCATATAGCCCAAGCTGCCAGGATAATTATGTCCATGAAGAAAGGTAATCTCAATTTGACTTTAATGTCCTCAAAAGCTTCAAACACAAAGAGATTGGCAGTTCTAGTGGGGCAAAAAATTCCCAAGATCTCTTAGCAAAAGCGCAGCTCCAAAAAGATCATGAAGTGTTTCTTCATGCTAGCAGTTGAGAGTTGTATAGTTGTAAGTGTCAATTATGAAGGACTTTCTTCTTTGAAGGTTTCATGTGTTAATTCTATAGTACCATCCAAAAGAATACTTTATGCTTAGGCTGACAAGAGTTGTTCCAAATCCATTGAAAATGTGGAGGGATAATTTTAGTCCCTATCATAACTTTATAACCATTAGAGGTAGAAAACAACTCATTGCCCCGAATGTAGCTCCATGTATCAGTGTGTCTCTAAATTCACATTGTCTCAAGGTGATATAGATATCTTCCTTTTGTAAAAAAATCGTCATCAGCCTCAACTGATAAAGGTAAATGAAAGAGATCTTCCAGGTATTCATAGTTGATTAGTTGCTCTGCATTTATAAATTGGTTTCTTGCAAAGGAGAAAAGGTGTGGAAAGTGTAGGTTTAGATAGTTATTGTGCAAAGATTTGCTCAGAATAGTGCACTTTTGCCATCTCCCCAATTACACCTTGCCATTGATTTTTACTGTTCAAGTAATCCCAGGTAAGTCTTCCACCAAAAGGATCCAACCATCTAGGCCCCAGGGGGGCACCATTGTTATAATATGTGTTCCCATATGAGGTTTACCCAAGGAATATTTTGCATGTTAAAGAATTTATGCAGGTTCTTGAGAAGGAGGCTCTATTCTGGATGTTGATGTTCAACACACCAAGGCCGCTTTGGCTCTTAGGCCTATAAAATGTGGCCCAAGCAACTAAGGCAGGGGAGTGGTCTTTCATGTCTGTCCCTCTCCAATGGTAGTGCCTTAGGTACTTGACAACTTGTTTCTTAATGGTTTCAACCTTTCAGGCAAGTTCAGACAACTGTAAAAATTACTAGAGAAGAAAAGACATATTCCACCATCAAATGCCTCCCTGCATAGATCATGAAAGTGGCAAATCCAGCTAGTCTCTATGAGTCTCTGTTAGCCATGGGCAAGCCCTGCTCAACAGTAGGTTTGATCAAACCACGAGGTAGGCCAAGGTATGTGATAGGGAAGTATCCGCATATGCGATTTATTGTGCGTGTAAACAGTTCCACCCTTTGCTCAACAATATTAACTGGAATAGGATTGGAATTATGGTAATTGAATTTTAAGCTTGTTGTTGAGGCAAATCTATTATGAAGGGCTTCGAGACATATTAATTGCTTAATATTAGCTTGCATCGCCACTACTGTGTCATCAGCATATTGTATGATGGGAAAATCGGGGAAGGAACTAACCTCATGGGTGGTTTAAAAAGACCTTGTGCAATTACTTTGTTGATAATAGATTGAAGGAGAATGGCACCAATGACAAATAATAAGGGTGGCAACGGGACTCCTTATCTCACCCCTCTCTTACAATAAAACTTCTTCCTAGGAACCCTATTAAGCAGGACAGAAGATGATGTGGAAGTGAACAAGGATTGCATCCAGGAAATCCACCTATCACCAAAACTTTGCCTTTGATAATGCCATTAATGGCTCCGTGTTCAATGGTACCAAGCTTTCTCACAGTCCAACTTTAGAACCAACATGTCATCCTTGGATTTATAGCATTGATGTAAATATTCATAAGCCCATCCCAGGCAATCCTGGACAACCCTAGTTAATCTGAATTAATTGAAGAATCACTTGTTGCAGTCTATTTGCTAGGAGTTTGGTGATAATGTTCAATGTGCATTTATGAAGTGAAATTAGCCAGAAGCCATTGGGAGTGGTTGGGACATCAATCTTTAGAATAAAACTAATGAAAGAAGCGTTGGTGCTCTCAAGAAAAATGTTCCCCTCATAAATATCATGTATCAATCTTCTTATATTAGTCCCAATAATATACCAAAGAGTTATAAAGAATTCATTGTTAAACCCATCTGGCCATGGAGATTTATCTATGAGAAGCTCAACAATAACTTTATTAATCTCATCACCAGTAAAAGGCTTCTCAAGCTCTTAAAAAATCTTGGGGTCATGATGTTGAGTAAACAAGCTAGGAAGGTTAAAATACATATATTTTCCGTCAGATCACCCCAATATGTTCTTGAAGGCATCCCAAAAAATGGCAGCTTGCCAGCATGATCATAAATGTTAGCATGATCAACATTTTGCAACATTGCCATGTAATTGTGTCTGTGGTTGATAGAAGCTTTTGTATGGGAAAACTTTGCGTTTTTATCCCAAAACTTGACACCTTGTTTTCCTGTCAGCTTCCTATAATTTCTCCGATTATTGAGTAGGTGAAAAAGGTGATCGTCTCAAATACTTTTGCAGTTCCATTAAAAATAGTGAGAGGCCTAATTCCTCAATAAAGTCCCATAGGAAGATAC